CCCCCAACCCCTGCACAACCACAGCATCTCCCGCCCACCCCATTGATCTAGCAGAGCCAGCATCTTCACCACGAGCCCCTTTGCTATCATTCACTGCCCTCGGTCCTGGCCTGGGTTAGCTGTCCTGGGTGGGGCCTGCTTCCCAAGAGGAGATGCAGGATGCAGGATGGGAGGGTGGGGATGGGGGCATGGACCAGCCTCCCCTTCGGCGGTTCATCCCACGGAGGCAGAGGGGAGGCAGAGGTGGCAGGAGGCCCAGATCCCCACCCGCCGGCTGCGCACCCAGCAGGGCCCCGTGGTGTAGGCTGATGACCAGATTTCTGACTTGGGCTCCCAAATCACTCGGCAAAGGTGGCTGGTTGATGCGAAATACCCAGTCTCCCCTTCTTCTCTGGTAACAGAACCTGGTCATAGCTGGAAATTGTGTTTCTTGTCTCCTTGTGGCCTGGGGTGGTTGCATAACCAATGAGGTGTGAGCGGCAGTGGGTGGAATACCCAGAGAGCTTCTCAGAAGGGAAGGCCCCTCCTTCCTGCTTCTTGCTAGCTGGAATAGGGACATGATGGCTGGCACTTGTGCAGCCCTCTTGGACCATGAGGTGATGGGCAAAAGATGGCAGAGCAGCAGAATAGGAAACAGAAGCTGGAGTTCCTGGTGATCAGGAGGGAGGTCACCCCTGCCTCTAAACTCACGTCAGGAACAAACAGCGATGGGGCTGAGGCCATGATTGTGTTAGAAGCAGCCAAACCTCACTGCAAGCACATAGTCCGCCTAGGAAGAAGCCAAACTTAGCAGGTGCTCGTGTGAGCTCAGTGCCCCACTGAGTCAGCTGGGGAGAGACAGGTAACCGGGGGAGGGGGTGCCCTGCTGAGCACAGGGTGCCCGAGCGACAGGACAAAAGCTGTCCTGTGTTTGGCTGTGCTGTGTGTGGACGCCTGTGACCCTGGGCTGGAAGGGACCAACGTGGAAGCACATTTCATGGGACTCCCTCCTCTACGGTCACTGTGCTTCAAGAGGGACAGTCAGAGATTTTCTGGCCCAAATTTATTTCAGGACTTGTACCAAATCGCCTTTCAAGCTAAAACCCTCTGCCCCGCACTCGAGAGACCTGTGGTGAGGAGATCCTGGCTGTGGCCAGAGCTGTAGGGGGATGCCCTCTGACATCCAGGGCCCCCACCCTCCACGACTGCATCCCTCCTCACACAGCCCTCGCCCAGGTGAGCGCAGAGGCAGGCGGCGACTCGGGCTGGAACCCGAGACCCCTGGACTCTCTGAAGGCTTGAAAAAGGCTCTCAGACCCTTGGCGAAGGCCTGGCCTAGGGGAGGACAAGCAAGGAAGGGCTGTGGCTGGGGGCGGGGGTGAATGTGAGGCGGACGGTCTCGAGGACACACAGGTTCACTCCCAGGAGGAAAGGGTCCTGCTCTGTGATCCTGTGCACGTGGGGCTTGCACTTTGTGCCTTCTCAGACAGTGGATAAGGAAAACTTAGAAGCTAAAGAAGAAGGGAGGGTATAGCTCAAATGGGAGAGTGCGTGCTTGGCACGCACGAGGTCCTGGGTTCAATCCCTGGGACCACCACCGAAAAAAATAAGTGAATAAACCTAAGTACCTTCCCTCTGCAAAAATAAACAAACAAATAGGTAAAAACAAATAAGGGAAGATCTCTGTCCCTGGAGAAGCCTGAGAATAAGCCATTTTACTTAAAAAAAAGCCTCACTCACTCCCCGCCCCCGCAGCCCCGTGCTCCCCTCCGGCGCCCGCTCCATCCCGGGTCCCAGGTCCTGCCGGCCGCACCCTAGGCCCCAGCAGCCCCGGCCCCCTCCTTCCTGCTGACCAGGAGCTGGGACACGAGGTGACCCCTCCAGGCCCCCACTTTCAACCGTGATTATCTCGGTTTTCTCTTACTTGGACTAACCACAATCCTACTCACGGCAGAGCTCGAACATCAGGACAGACGGAGGACAGACGGACACAGCGTGTTCGTGACCCTGAGCCGGCCCAGACCCCTGCTAACATGTCTGAGGGGTTGGGGGACGCTCTGAAGGCAGCTGTGTTGGGGAAGACTTTCAGTGGGAATGGTCCTGCGTGAACCTGTTCCCACAAAGGGAACGGTCAGTTTTAGGAGAAGCAAAAGCAGAGCTCAGCCCCCTGGCCTCTGGGCAGCGGGCCCTCTCCCTTCTCAGGTGCACTTCTTAGGTCAGACCCTGTGGCTGGGATGGAGGGGGTGCAGCGGGGCACCGGGTCAGGGTCATGGAGGCAGATGCTGTGACGGCCTCGGTTTGTACAAGAGGAAACATGGTGGAGACTCTGGGTAGGTCCCCAGACACACCTGGGGGGGGACCCAGGGCCTCTGACTCAGCGCCAGATGCAGAGAGTTGAGGGCTGGAACTGAGTGGATCTTACAAGAGCGGAAACCTGGTCCCCGGCTTCTCCAAAGGCAGTTTCTACGGCTCGATACCCACATCCCGCCAAGCCAAGTCCAGCCCGCCAGCCCGCCTTGGCCCACGCGGGACCCACGTTCAGGCCAGGATTCCTGCGAGCCCTCCCCTCCAGAGCGGCCCTGAAATCCCTCCGGGGAGGCCTGGCACCCAGGGGGCGCTTTTACGCAGAAATAGGAGCACATTCTTCGACGCAGCTAAACTTGCTGCTATAAACTGAGGTGGAAGCAGAGAGGGGGTCTCAGGCCAGGCCACCAAGGGGCCCTTGCCCCACCAGGTGACCCACTGGCCCTGCCTGACCCGTGAGGGCAGGACCCGGGCCTCGGTCTGAACGCTGCCTTGTCTCAGTGAGACAGGAGCGGAGGAGTCGGGCACAGCCATTAAAAGAAGGACACAGCAACTGAGGATATGACAAAAACTGGGTAGAACCAACCAGGCCCGGAGATGGCTGAAGACTCAACCTCCAGGCGACCTTGAGCCTCACTGTCCGCTCACTGCAATGTATCAGCATGGTGAATGGCCCTCCCACAGGTGCCAAGACAGTTCCCAGGCTGACCATAAAAGGCCAAATGTGGGTGGTCCCAGTTCCTGGGAATCCCAGCCCCCAAATGGTCGGAATAAGCCTCCAGCTCGTTAGCATATGAAGTTACCGCGCCTATAAAAACTAGCAACCCCTGCCCCGGGCCTCTCGCCTTCAGAGCCGCCTGTGCACCGTCTGAGGAGCACGTCTCCCCGAACAAATGTACCTCACTCCCCCTGGGCTCACTCTTGAGTTCTTCTCTGCGCGAAGCCAAGGACCCTCACTTGGCGGGGCGCCTCCCAGGGACCCGCCCGAAGCCTGGGGCCCAGCCCTCCTTTCGTGCCCCGCTTTCCTGCAACACCAGCCCCACACAGCCGCCCTGGCTGGCCCGGGCTGTGGACTCGGCAAGTCTCTGCCCCCGACCCCGCCCCACCCCGGCCGCACCCAGAGCGGGAGCCCTAACTGTGAGGTCGGGCCCCGCAGACGGCTGAGGAGAGCGTGCGGGCCCGTACACCAGAGCAGAGTGTGTG